AACCCCGATCGTCGTTTAGTACCCAAACTGGCCCCCTTTTCATATTAACGTTTTACGTAGGATATCATTAATTTTTGAAAAATACTTTAATTAAAATAACTTTTACGTATTTTAACGTGAGGAAATCCGTAAAAGTAGTTTTATTCAATGTGTAGTGTTTGCGTAAATATAAGAAATCATTTTGAGAAACAATTTTATCTTTTTATTATTCTTAAATAAGTAAATGACTTTTACTGTTTTTTCTTCACTGTTTTGTTTTTAAAATTTAAACTATAAACAAAGTTATTGGTGCGGTTCTTTTAAAAACATTATTTGGAACTAACTGCACCAATAACTTGGTCGTCATTTTTTGACGCCAAATATACCGACCTAATTTTTAGTTTTAGATTTTTTCCTTTCTATAGAAAAGGCGTATACGCCTTATGATAAATGAACTAATTTTGATGCCAAATTTCAAATTTCTAATTACCTAAAAGTGGCCTAGGTTTATAATTTGTGAGTCAGTGAATAAAATTAATCAGTGAATAAGTGTAAACTGAAAGACTAAGTTTTGTTCGTGATATATAGGAATCTAGGTTTCAAAGGTGCTTTCTTAATTTTGCAAAATTATAAGTATGTACGTCTTATATATTTTGAGTTATGGGAGGGTCAAAAGTGGCTCGAATTATATAAAATTCGTTAAAAGAGATTAAGAGATCGAAGGTGGACTTGGAAAAGGTTTGTACAAACACAACATCTGAATACTATTATTTTCTGAAGGTTATTATTCTCAATGTTTTTTATTTCTTCTCTTCTTATTTTCCACCAGACTCAAGGGCCATAGCCAAGTATAGAAAGGTAGCCTGACTTTGTATTTACAAGCGGTAAATATGTTCTACTATCACTATTCAGATTATTACCAAGGTTAACCCTCGATTGCTATTATGGACTTGTCTTAATATTTTTAGAGATACCTCTTCCTTTAACTGTATGTATTATGAGAAAGGGCGTCAGTGATAAAAAAAGAAATTTAAATCTTAAAATGAGAACAAAGCTTCGGTAAAGGGAGGCATGGTAAATTAAATAATATAGTGCATGACGGTTCAGTTATTTACTAATTTTAGTAATTTGTACTAGTAAATAAAGTAAGTTGGTATCCGGACTGCACTTCTTGTCGCCGTCGACTAATAAGGGAACTTTGTAACTAAGTTGCGAATATTAGATAAGGTGGATAAGACTGATAGGAATGTTGATACTGTAATTTTACCTAAAGCTAAATTAATAATTTATTCTTTGTTATAAATAGTTATTTCAAATTGTTAACACAATTTGACGAGACTATACTTTGATTCCGGCTTCGTGGTCTTGGCGTGCGCTAGCACATGTTTTTGTTCCACAAATAATTTTTGTTTTAGGACCGTTTGTGTTCCGTAATGCATTCGGTTGCGGCGGCATGGGTTTGATTCTCGATATTCGAAATAATTATTTCGAGTCTAGTTGTTATACTATTACTTATATGTCTGCAAAAAGCCTTCAAAATACAGGAGAAATTTCTAATGTGGTAAAGTTCAGAAAACAAAAATGTACAAGTTTCTTGACTCGCGATACTAGTTAGTTACTCTGCTTAGCCACGCGTTCGTGTGTTAATTAATGAATGCTCGTGCACATTTTAGTTCTGACACTGTGGTAATTGAGCAATTGATGCCTTTACTGTCGTCATTAGACAAAATTAACTCCACAGGAAACGGCGGGCAATTCCATAAATGACAAGAAATATTTTTTTCACCTTATAACTTAATACTCAAAACAGGTGATATGTTTATCATTTTTTTATGCTAGCCCAGTTGTGAGATAGTTGAGGAAGCAACAGTAACAGATTTGTGTAATTGATATGATAATAACTAGCTTTTCCCCAAGGAATGCCACAAAGAACTGCCTTGAGCCACCTGCATCCATCGACTACCTGCATGTCTTACCAGGTCGTTAACTGACTAATTAATTAATTTTTTATTTATCTATGCTACTTTTTGTTTTTTTTTTACCAATGATATCAAAAGGAATCGAAAGTAAAATAATGGAAACTGTAGATTATGTTGCTTCATGACGCATATTCTTTGTTTCTATGTTTTGTTTGTTGTTTAGTTTGTTTGACTGACTCACTGGTCTAGTGTTGCATGCTCAGTTGCTGATTACGAGGTTCGAATTTGATTCGAAAGTTCAGGCCAAAATCAGTTATTTGGTTTTTAGTCAAGTAATTCGCAGGAGTACCGAGTTAGGAAATTGGCGGTGTTTCAATACCATGCCTCGGACAGCACGTAAAGTCGTTGGTCCTGCATATGACGTCTCTCCGGTCGTATAGTTGTCTCGATTGAGATTAGCCGCCGTGAAGAATTTTTTTATAGGATAGGGTGACAAACGAGCACACAGTCCACCTGATGGTAAGTGGTTGCTGTCACCCATAGACATCCATATTTATCCTCAATAAAGAATCAAAATGCAGATGCGTTGTCACCCGTGAGGACTAAGATGGAGTGCCTCTTTTCCAGTAAAAAAGGTCTCCGGTTCTCTACACTCACCATACGAAACACAGCAGTGTTAAGCTGCTATTTTACGCTGGTATTCTGTGAGAGCGTGGTCCTTCCCCGGTCGAGCCGATCCATTCGTGCAACAACTATACTACTAATATAACTGCAGCATGGCTCTACCACGTAAAAAAATGCCTCGGATAGCACGTAAAGTCGTTGGTCCTGCACATGTCTCTCCGGTCTTATAGTTGTCTCCGCTGAGACTGGCCGCCGTGACAGAAATTCGGTCTGGACATTTTTGTTTATTCATGATATGGATAAAGTTAAATAAACCACCATTATTTTTATTAGAATATTTCTACACAAAGTTCAGGTCACCGTGGTACTATTTTATGGCGCGGCGTGCGTGTTTGAAACGCGTTTTAGCTACACGCAATATGCATGGATATTGTTTGGCTTCACAACTGAATAACGACTTTGTCGAAATTCTGAACTTCTGATTTTAGAATTATTATTTGTTCAAGTGTATGACTTTTAGTCATTTTAATTCAGTCACAAAGGCAGAGTATTTTGAATCAAGTACTTCAGTATAATATTTTACAAGAGGAGTGCTGGAAACGTTTAGTAAAAATTTACTAAATCGTTGACGCGTCTGCTAGTGATCGTGTAATTTCTGAATGACTTTACCAATTGGGAGTATAATCACACAATGTATTTGTTTTGTCGAGAAGATGGTTCATAGTTGCTAGACGCAATAGGTGTTCCTGAAGTCAAGGTATTAACAGACAAAGACTAAAATATGGCTTCGTGGCGCAAAGGGTTAGCAATGAGTTGCGCCATTGAGGGCCGCTGGTTCGAATCCAGCAAGGAATAAATATTTGTATGGCCTACACGTAATACACGATCAGGATTAGGATACTGCCTTCACAACACAGGGAAACTACTGGTGTGTGAAGTAACTTTTTTTAATTGTATTTAACAAATTCTATATTTACAGACCAAAATGGCTCATATTAACAATATATTTTATTATATAGAGTTAAAAGAAAATTAGAACTGGACCCGATTGGTAGCGCTGTGGTCGAGTTATTAATAAACTTTATATTTATACTGTAAAAAAAGTCCGCAGTAAATTCGAAGTCAAACTCACGATGGTACCACCTACCGGAAGGGACAGAACAACGTCTGCCAGGCCAGCTAAAGTAATATCATATGTCGGGATGGTAACAATGATCTATAAAAATGGCACCTGTCTTGTCGCAAATGGACCACTGTTAAAATAATTGAATAAAAATTTTGGAGTAAATATGTCTAAAAATATCAAACGAAAGACGAAAAACACCAACTACAAAAATCTGAACACGCATAAACAAAACAACTTTTTCATTTGATCTAAGACAACAAATTATGAAATACATAATGATAAGAATAGACAAGAGTTGCAAAATATTTACGTCCCACTGTTGGGCACAAGCTTCCTCTCATTTCTGTGAGGAATACGTAGTAATTAGTCAGCCGCGCTGGTCCAGTGCGTGTTTTCATTTTATCCACATATTTTTATTCCTCAGACTTGCAGATTTCCTCACGATGTTTTTGACCTTTACCGCCCAGTTAAATAGTTTTTTTTATAGAATAGGAGTGACAAACTAGCATACAGTCCTGATGATATGTAGATTCTAAGAGCCATTGACATCTACAATTATCCTCAATTATGAATGAAAATGCAGATGCGTTGTCACGTGTTGGAATGAATGGAATGCCTCATTTCCAGAAAAAAGGGTCTCCAGTTCTCTTCACTCACCATACGAAACACAGCAGTATTAAGCTGCTATTTAACGCTGATATTCGGTGAGAGCGTGGAGTTGACTCATTCGTGCAACTACCATAATATAGCTTGGGTCTACCAAGCGTGAAAGTTTACTGGGCAGTAATTTCTTTATCATTATTACAGATAAAAAGATTGAGAAGTAAACATACTTCACGTGGTAAAGAGTAAAGACACGCTGTGTTATAACTGTAACACGAAAAGTTTGGCTTGTCTCGGGAATTACCACGCTCTCACAGAATACCACCGTAAAATAGTAGCATTATACATACGTGTTTTGTTAATGTGTTAATGGTGAGTGAGGAGAACCGGGAATGCTTATTACTGGAATAATAACCAGACATCTATGTATCTATATATCTTAACCTCATGGACTACACATCTCAAGTACAGATGGGTCTACACTGACTCTCGGGTGAACTATCAGTTGTTGCATGTACATAATAATTATTTACGTTTAATTTCGGAACCCATGATTATTAACTTTATTATCAGCGTCAAAATTATTATAAAAGGTTATTTTCTTTAATACATTAGGTTAAAATGTGACATAAAAATCTTAAAGTAGCCAAAAGTAAAAGGGTTATTTGAATTTTCTGTAATATTCCACGTCGCCAGGAAACAGGAAAATTTTGGGAAAAAGAAAAAAAAATTAATAAAAAATAGCTTACCATAAATAAGCCGTTGAAAACAACAAGCAGATATTTAATGCAGTTCATCCCGCAGCCCTCCATTTTTGAATTTTGGCAAACCACGGAACACGTTAAAGTCACAGATTAGCAAAATTTTACGTCCATAGATAAAAATATTGTGAGCTAAAACTGATTCGCGCTTTACGTCCGGACGGCTTTGTAACGCGCACTCGTATGGCGCCAAGTCGTGTTCGAATAAATGTGCCGTCAGTGGGTTGAGACGTTGGGTTTTTAGCTTTTTAGTACTCATCGATATTTCGGTGGCGTGAACTCGCCTGTAAGGGCTGCAGTCACGCAACAATTTCAGCGTTTCTAAACTTTTTTCTATTTTCTATAATTGAATTTAGGAATTTAAGAAAATAAGAAAATGCTGTTTAGAACAATAAACATACAACAAATATATTACGTTAAAGAAAGAAGAAAGAAAGGAATATTTATTACGTTAAAAAAAATATACAGATACTGACTTAGTTACTGTTATGTTACATATTTATATGTCTCATATTTTATTATTTAACAATTTCAAACAGTATCACTGGGCTCCACACTAGGATTCCCTGTATCGTGGAGACCAGTCTTCCTATTTATATAGTACTTAATGATTAGTTAATGTTATGTACGAGTGGATTTATCACATACATAGTTTAAAAACACAAAAAAAGAAGGAAAAAATAAAATAAAATAAAGACTAACACATAATTTATGGGTTTGGTGCAAACTTTTAAGTTATATTTAACATTGGTCGCATTTGAATTGCGAATATTTCTGCAATATTATACTTTTACAGTACAAATTCAGACCCTTTGAACGATTAATTATTCTCAATATGCATTTAGATTATATCAGGTTTATTTATTTATTTAAGATATTATATTCTATTTAAGGCACAGTGTACGCCTATAGGCTTAATAACAATACGACATCTATTGTGTCTGGTATACTGTCCGCGAATGTGTTAAGCTTTATTAGTTGAGAAAGATTTTTTAATACTGGTAATGCCTCAGTTCCTTCATATTTTTTATTTTGTAACCATTTATGTACCAATAATCTACTACCTGATCTGATCATATTCAAGACTTTATTATTTGCTTTGTTGTATCATGTGTAGTGGCTGTGTAAGCGAATCCACTACCCCATATCATCCGTGGGCGATTGACAGCAGAATTCCTAATTATATCTGTGGTTGTCAGCCCGCCTGCCGAGCAACTATGGAAAATGTGTATTTTAAATAATAATGGACTTTGATGGCGGTAATGATGATGATGAAGAGAGTTTAATTTTAAAGTCAAAATTATATAAGCAAATCCTCCGTTCAGTTGGAGAAATCAGTGTCCAGCAGCATACTCCTAAGGGTTACAGAAGACGAAAAAGAAGAAGAAGAAAGAATCAATATACGTAAATAATACATTGCAACCCCGCCATATTTGAAGCCATTTGAAAGTTTTGCCGAGAAGCTTGTTTAAGAATCGTTTTTACGTGGTAGAGCCATGCTGCAGCTATATTAGTAGTATAGTTGTAGCACGAATGGGTCGGCTCGACGAGGGAAGGACCACGCTCTCACAGAATACCAGTGTAAAATAGCAGCTTAACGCTGCTGTGTTTCATATGGTGAGTGTAGAGAACCTGAGACCCTTTTTACTGGAAAAGAGGCATTCCATCTTAGTCCTTACGGGTGACAACGCATTTGAATTTTGATTCGCAAACGAGGATAGATGTAGATGTATATGGGCCACAGCGACCACTTACTATCAGGTGGACTGTGTGCTCGTTTGTCACCCTATTAATCACCGTCATGACTATAGCAATGTTAAACACTATCCTAAGCTATTTTCATCCATCGACTGATGTGCAGGAACATTTAACAGGTCGTCAGCTCGTCTTATAATGTCCATGGTCGTCCTACAATGCACTTGCCGGTAGGAGTCTGTCACTCGAGGCCCATACGGTCGATGGCTCTAGGAACTATATGGGAGGCCCAAGGTCGTATTATAAAGTATGTACTATACACACAATATGTACTACTACTGAAGTATCTTTTAATTGAATAAATAAACACATAAATAGCCAGATTAACAGGAAACACAAGGAGGCTGAGTTTCTGTGGAACGTATTTAGGCTAATTTTAGTATCAATCAGATAATTGAACAAAGTTTTTCTAATCGAATTATATTAGTCAGATAAGAAACCAACAACTACGCACAATGCAGCAGTGTCGCATTACACCAATTACTTTGTGTGTTTTACATAAGAACATGATGGTAAGTTGATGCTGTGGGCCATAGACATCTACATCTATCCTCAATTACGAAACAAAATGCAGATGCATTGTCACCCGTGAGGACTAAGATGGAATGCCGCGTTTCCAGTAAAAAGGGTATCCGGTTCTCTACACTCACCATACGAAACACAGCAGTGTTGAACTGCTATTTTACGCTCGTATTCTGTGAACAAGTAACATAGTAATACAATACAATACAATGTAAAGGTATGTAAACGAATACAATACAACGAGTTAAACGTCAAAAATCACAACCAAACCAACCACGAATCCCACCAAAGAGTAATGTTTAACTAGCAGTGTATTTTTTTTATAGAATAAGGGTGACAAACGTGGAAGTTGCTGCGTTAAGCTGCTATTTTTCGCTGGTATGTTGCGAGAACGCGGTCCTTCCCCGATCAAGCCGAATCGTTATTGCTTAATAGGGCTGCAGCGTGGCTCTCATCATCATCATCATCATTACAGCCTTTCATAAGTCCACTGCTGAACACAGGCCTCCCCCAAGGAATGCCACAAAGCACGGTCCTGAGCCACCTGCATCCATCGACTTCCTGCATGTCTTACCAGGTCGTCACTCCATCTCGTGACTTTACCTACCGGTACGAGGCTGCCACTCGAGAACCTTTCTTCCCCATCGGTTGTCGGTTCTTCGAGCTATATGGCCGGCCCATTGCTACTTCAGCTTACTAATCCGTTGGGCTATGTCAGTTACTCTTGTTCTACGGATATACTCATTTCTAAGTTTATCACGCAGAGAAACCCCGAGCATAGCCCTCTCCATAGCTCGCTGAGCGACCTTGAGCTTCCTCATACGACCAGCAGTGAAAGACCACGTCTCAGATCCGTAAGTTATCACTGGCAACACGCACTGGTTGTACAATTTCGTTTTAAGGTTTTGAGGTATGCCTAACGAAAAGATGTGTCGTAGTTTCCCGAACGCTGCCCAGCCGAGTTGAATCCGTCGATTGACCACTCGGTCGAAGTTGGACTTACCTAGTCGGACTATTTGTCCCAGGTAAACATACTCGTCAACAACTTCGAGCTTAGTGCTCCCAACAACTACCGGCATAGGTGTGACATGGACATTAAACATGATCTTTGTTTTGCCCATGTTCATCCTAAGACCTATTCGTTGGAAGAAACTATTGAGGTCATTGAGCATGGTGCTTAGGTCCTCCAGCGATTCTGCCATAAGGACTATATCGTCGGCAAATCGAAGGTGAGTGATGTACTCGCCATTGATGTTAATACCGTATCCTTTCCAGTCCAGAAGCTTGAAAACGTCTTCCAATGCAGCGGTGAAGAGTTTCGGGGATATAACATCACCCTGTCTTACACCTTTCTGCAATTGGATAGGTTTCGTACTCTGTTTCTGTACTCGGATAGCCATCGTAACTCTACTGTACAAACACTTCAGCACTTCGATATACCGACAGTCCACTTGGCACCGCTGAAGGGACTGCAGCACCGCCCAAATTTCGACGGAATCAAAGGCTTTTTCATAGTCCACATACGCCAGAGATAGTGGCAAATTATACTCTTTGGATTTCTGTAAAATTTGCCGAAGGGTATGTATGTGGTCTATGGTGTTAAAATCCTTTCGGAAACCGGCTTGTTCGGGAGGCTGGAAGTCGTCAAGTCTGCGCGCGAGACGATTCGTAATGACTCTCGAAAACAGCACTTAGACGTGGCTCAGAAGGGAAATCGGTCTGTAGTTCTTCAAGAGAGCGTTGTCGCCTTTCTTGAAGAACAAGACCACCGCACTTCCGCTACACGCCTCTGGAGTGGTGCCACCATGGAGGACGGAATTAAAGAGCCTCTGAAGGACTTCAAGAACCGATCTTCCACTCGCTTTCAGAAGCTCCGCTATAAATCCACCCTCGCATGGGGCCTTGCCGTTTTTAAGATGCTGGAGAGCCATTCTAATCTCGCTCAGACTGACGTCCGGGATATCTTCGGAATAGTGTCGGATAAGACTCGCTCTTGGATCGTTACTCATACTTGCGTGTGGCTCCAACGATGACGTGTACAGGTGCCCATAGAACCTCTCAAACTCACTCAAAATCTCAGGTGCCCCGGAAACGATGCTGCCACACTCGGTCTTCAGCTTCGACAGTTGGCTCTTTCTGACAGACAGATCTCTGGCAAAGACTTTGGAGCCTTGGTTCCGCTCGATCGCTTCTTCAATACAAGCTGTATTGAAGTTGCGTAAGTCCCGCCGCATGCATTTGGAGATCTGTCTGTTCTGTTGCCTGTATACTGTCAAATCTGTTGAAGAATGTAGCTTCATCTCCCGTCTAACAGCCATGAGATTGAGAGTGTGATCGGAGAGTTTTAAGTCAGCGTGGCTCTATTACGTACAAAATATGGAATGAAAATGGTCTTATAATTTTTTCTGAACTTAGAACAATTTCCCAAAAGCCAAGAATACGAGTAGAGTTGTATGAGCACCGTCGCTTGACCTTTATGTTGTTATTTATGTTATTTTCAAAATAAAAAAAAATTGTAATAATTAATTATGAAACTTTATTTTATTATAATAAAATAAGATGTAGTAATTAACTTTTACAGTTTGACAAGTACTGGAATAGTTTTTCTGCAAGGATTTCAAGTTCTAGTGAAACACAATGTTAAGTTATTTTAGGTTTATTGACCATATGAACAAGCCAGTAAACTTTTGATTACTTATTTTATAAATTTTAATATGTTTGATACGCTTGGCAAGCGGGTTGGCTACCGTAGTTTTTTATTTTTAGTTGTTTTT